ATTACATGTCTTTTCCGTTGTTACACGAATTGGTTGAAATCCAATACAAACAAAGCAATACACAATTTAAAAGAGAAGAAAACGAGAAGTTTTCTGTTATTACAACTTTTGAAGTAATATCACCAAGATTAACATGCATGTATATAATATGCAATTATTACCAAGAGCGATTAAATTGGGCGTTCTTCGTAACATTTGATTATTTCAACAATAGTCTCAATACAATTTATAGGTAGTTATAAGAAACTTTATAACAGTTATAATGTGATTTCGCTAAACGAAAAACTTGTCATACATATATCTATATTTATATCGACAGGAACTCATCTGTATTCAACTTCAGGACATTGAAGGATGGTTTTATTTTATTATAAACACATAAAATGGTATGACACGAAATGTTGTTTTTAACGTACGAATTGTTTAAGTTTTAAGAAGTTACACTCTTTGTTTTAATGAAACAAACGGATTCAAGTGATAAAATTAGAAATTAGCTTGAAACTGTTAGTAGTTTATAGTAAGCATTTTGATAAAACTTAAACTATTGGTTCTTGTTTATCAATTACATTTTGTCGGTGGAACTATACGTATATTGATTCAATGTACAAATAAATACAATAATTTCATTTGACTGCATTAAATAATAATTTTACTCTACATTTTGTAACATGTACAATGTGTAACATATTGAGTGTTAAAGGTCTATAATCTATTGATTATAGATGAGTTATAATATTGGGACACGTTTATTTAAGTTAAAAATAACTAGTTTATGTTAATTAAAAAAATGTGTACTTATTTTAAAGTTAACTATTAAATAAGACCAACTTTTAATTAGGAAAGGTTGAGGATTAAGTACATAGTAACTGATTCTATAGTCGTCGCTACCATTATAATTTATACCTTAAAGTATAATAATTAAATATATTAATAAATGGATTTTTCTTATGGATTTTTAAATCGGGGATGGTCTAGTCAAAGAGGACTTTACCTTAAAAATAAGTTATTACAGAGGTTTCAAGCGATAAAAAAACAATCACTGATATAAATTTTATAATCGATGTAATGATGTAATTTTATATTAACTGTTTAAATAAAAAATATGGTTGATAAAAATAAATGTTACAATAGTACTTTTAGTGATTAAGTTTTTTGCTGTATCACTACGTATAAGTGCCTGCGTTGTGTCAATAATATGTTTTTGCGTTCACTTAACTACACCAGTTTTACTAGTGGACGGTTGCTAGTAAACACAAACGCACAACAATTGGTATAATCTTAGATTTAGTAAGAAAAGTAAAAAAAAATGTCTGCTTCTATGGTTAAATTCAGTATTTGAGAAACTTAATATTTTTACTTTTAAATCTGTTTTAAATTAGTATATGACCAAGTTTTTGCTAAACAAATTACATAAACTACTTAATAATTACATCTCATTTCTATGTTATTTGGCTATCAGACTACAGATATATATATTATAATATTACAGAATACGAATTAAACTGTAAACATCTAATTTTTTTAGTAGTCTAATAAAATTGAATCAACAAAGTCGTTTATGAGTTAAAAATAGATTACATAGCACAATATTAAAACAAGTTCTAAATTTTATAGGCGGCAATTTTAGGAAAACTGTATCCGTTTGTTTGACAAATGGCGTACACAGCATACCCATGTCAAATTTATCACAGGAAAACTGCAGAAACAAAAACTTCTCATAAGTGGCAGCTAACAAAATTCTAATCATTTGTATTGACAAGTTACTATGATAGCTATTAGATTATGCGTAAAAATTAATTGATCGTCTGAATTTTATGTTAAGATATGTTTTGCAAAAGAATAAAATTTAAATATTTTGCAACAAAATATGTATTGTACTAAAATGTGGAATGTTAAAAAACTGCTACCAATATTTGCCATCATGATTTTGAAAGGTAAACTTGATTTACTACGTTTAAATGCAATCTATGCATGTTTTATCGTTAGTAAAGTAGACTTATTTTTTATTGTGTACCAGCTTGAAATAATCGGTAATTTATAACCTGTTTAATTAGTACTTCGCAGATAAACGTTTAGAAGTGGTCTAGTTTTTTTTAAATTTTATTCTAATGCGTAAAAAAACCATTTAAATCTGGTTATGACCGAGTACATTGTTTTACTAGTATTCTTTAGTTAAAACTAGGAAATAACGTTTTTTGGTTATTATTTTAATATTTATGAGATCTAATGAAAGATAATAATAGTTAAGTTTAAAAAATGACATCATTATTATGTTATAATTTCATATGAAATCTATAGCACAAGTAAATTATATTAACGAACCGGACAACAAGTACCAAAATATTATCATGTATATTTTTTCACACATAGGTCATATATAAAAACTATTTTATCTCAGTAAAAAAATACGATAGGATTGTTCAAATCTCGAAATATTTAAAAATCTAGATAATTTAGCTTTTTTAATATCGTTCCTTTGTCAATGTTCTTTTTTACCGGAACATGGATTCAAATAGCCTTAAACTCTTTATAGCAAACCTCTATAACTCTGTATAGAATATGTGTTCTTATTACATATAAAAATTGTACACTTTATAGCGTTAAAATTTGTGGTCGTATATAAACGTTTTATTATCCAGATTCCGGAAAAAATATATTGTTCGCGTGTATTGTTTTAGATTCAAAACACGTTAAATTTAAGCGTATGGTCAAACTGCTACCATTTAGAAGTTTTAAAACTAAAAGTAAAACAGGAGTATGTATACGCTTCGGTTATCTTGTGATACAATTTAATGGTAATATCCGTTATTCAGTATAAAACAAGAACATTATAGAGTATAAAACCACGGTACGTTCAAGAAAATTTTAGCCTGAATGCGCTTGAAGCTAAAAAAAGTGACGAGAACCATAAGGGTACCCCTTCACGTACAAATGACATTATCTTTAACAAACTGTATTGCTAGTCTTTTGAGCTTGTATTTTGATAATGGGAAATATAATTCACTTTTATGATACAGCATATAAATTTAACGTAAATTACTCAACGCTGCTAAATAGATATATATGTTATCATTTAAAAATCTTGGTTCATAGGGTTTTATCGCATCAGGGTTGGGGTTATATTTTTGAAAAATATAGGAAACGGGATAAGTAATAACTATAAACGTATACAAAAAAAACATTTTACTAAGTCTAATATCTTTTAAGATTAAAGTTTAATGTTTAAAATTTATTGTCGACTAGTCTAAATTTGTAGTAAAATGTTCTTAATTTTAAAAATTCGTTAAATGTTTATTTAACTATTTAAGTTTTAAAAGTTCATGGAACTCTAGAATTTACAGAAAATAGTTTTGTTAGGAATATTTTTACGAGCAAATCTACAAAGAACACAAATATAAAAATATTATTATATAGAGCAAAAAACATCTTGTAAATTATTTGTATTAAACAAAATATATTTGTACCATTGTATATGTTATAAAACATGTAACAATTTTTTGTAAAATTAATAAGACGACTAATATAATAATTGAGAAACATTTAATTTATCAAATACGTTTAACAGTTATAATGTTTAAAAAGTTGCTTGAAAAAAGAAAATTAGATTTCAGTGGAACTCAAAAAATGGCTTGGAATTTAATAATTACGGATAGAATTCGGCGCTAACGCCCATGTGATGGGTTAAGAGACTTTCACCTTTTTCCGAATGTCATTATGAGGAAAAACTACTTTAGTTCACTCTGCAGTACATTGCTTTACCTTACGGATATAAATTCAACACTTCCGCAATAGGTGCACAAACGTGAGTTGGTTGATTGATTTTAATAAAGTATAGTCATAAAAGAACAAAAATCTGCTCTAGACATTCACATAATTAAATTATTGACAAAATCACTTAGCTGTGTAGAGGTTTTTTACAGATAGTACTTGACACGTGTACAAGCCTATCAAGTTTTCATTATAATGGAAGTATTTTGTATTGCCCAACAAAACTAAGAACCTAAAAGGCTTTGTTCTTTAATCTACTAAACTTAAATTATATTTAAACGGCTATAGAAGTTCAGGTTAAATTAACCTGGATGAATTATCTATTATTTATCAACTTAAAATAATAATTGTATTAAAATAATATCACCGAGGACTTTAAAAGTTCCTTCTAGTTCTCTCTACCTAGGGATTAAAATCAGAAATAAAATATTTAAATTTCGTATACGTAGAAATCAGGCTGTATATTAAAGTATTTAAATAATTTTGAAAAAATATATCAAGTAAGTTCATTATAAAAATAAAATATTTAACAAATAATTGTAAGGGCGGTTACTGCAGTAAGGGCGATGTTAAAGAGATAATATAATTTTAGCTTAAGCCCAAAAGGTATAAAAATAATAACAAACAAAATTAAAAAATATATGAGTATGTAACTTAACACTTATGTAATGCATGGGTAGAATTTAAAATTTCACATGTCAAGTACCGACTATAATTCAATACAATATAATACAAACTGTTCATTTTTAGTGGTACGGTATTAACAAAATTGACAATAACAAGCAAAATACATTTTTCGTGGTAATTGGAAATTAAGTAGAAAGGGGATTGTTTTTGAAAGTAAACACCAACGTTTAAGTTTTTATTCTTGAAACAATTATCTGTCTGGGATCTCAGTTATGGACATAGTATAGTAACATTCGTTCTAGGACATAATATACAAGTACTTGTGAAAATAACCATTCAAAATGGGGAACTATAATGTCTGACTATGAAATACTACGAGCATTGGTTTGGGGTGGTTTGTATTACAACACATAATGACGTAATCGTATACCGTATAACACTGTAAACGTTTTGAATTTAATGAATACATAATGAAGGAAATAACATAATGAATTCAGTTATTAACCCCGTTTGAACTGCAATAAAAAATAAGTTCCTTAGCTTTTTTGTAAATGCATAAAAATACTATTGTCGTTCAATTATTTGTTAAAAAAAAAACAACTTACTTGAGGGAAGGCCAGCGTTAACGACACTATCCAAATTATTAATATATATTTAAACGCTCTGGACAGATTAGATTCGGTATGCGATAGAAATGGGTAACAGATTGCCACGTATCTTTCTATTGTGAACGCAGTGATGGTCAACACAGTTGCATTTGTCGACGTCTCTGCGGCCACTCCTCTGATGATGCAGAAATTCTCTCCGAATACATAAGGATATCTAAAAACAAATAATTCCAGTTAACATGGTCACAAGATGATAATAATAATTGGAATTAATAAGATTTTCTGCAAAACAGCATTACCCCTTTCTCCTGGAAGGGTTGGAACTTTGTTTTAATTTTATTTGTGTAGTTTCGGGATGTAGACCATAAATATAATATTTAAAATTGGAATATAAAACCTACTATGATAATATGTCGGTAGTATTAAAATGACTGTTTATAAGTAGGGTAGTCCTTATATTAATTTGTTATATATTTTGTAGACTCACTCAATTTCTTTATTATCTATTCTTAATTTCATCAGAATTGAACAATAAGGTGTGAAAGCATTTATAATACCTTAATTTAAATCACAGATTAAATTTGTTTTTATTTACCTTGAATAGAGAGCTATTATAGGGATTTCGAGTGCTTTGCTGTACCGTCTTATCGTTCAATTCATCTAGTGTAAACTATATTATTATATAAACACGTTTATATAATAGATTTGCATATTACAACACTTATGATAGTAATAAAAATCAGTGGCAATAAATTATTTTGATGCTACTAAAATATAATATGAAGAACTAATTAGCTCAACATTATTCCAATACAATGAAATGTATAATACATAGTTACATAATATCGAATCAATTGATAAGGATCTTTATTTTGACTGTCATAATGTTATGTAGATTTGTTTTTTCTTAATGACACATTTGGCACCTTGAACACAAGTAAATTAGCTTTTGTGCTAGAAAATCGTCGATTTTAAACGAATTATTACTATGGATATCGATTATATTCCATTAGACTAAACTGGTTTTTTAATACTAAATTTGTTTACTGATGCTCAGTCATATTCGACCTAGTTCTGTCAAAATAAATGCATAAATAGCGATCGTGAAATAACTTTGATATTAACAAAAAACAAGGTTGATTTTCATAATTATTAATATTTTATTTTAATTCTCTAGTTTTCGGTCATTGATGTAATACGAATTTAATGAGTAACATTTAAAAAAAATCAATAACGTCTCATTGACTATTGATATAAAATATGTTATTTTTTATATACTATAAAAGTAATATAGTTATACTTAATGTTATTCTAATAATTGCGGCAAACCATATGCAACAAATCGTAATGCATATAATAATATTTTATTATACCTACATTGTCGATTATACGCTTTCTAGATTTATATTTTAGCTATAAAAATAAATAAAAAACAAAAATTCTTTTTTTTCGTTAAGTTCAATATACCTATATCTAATAGCTATGAAAACTGTTTCTGTTCAATGCAGATCGTACGGTCGGCGGTTTCGGTCAAAACGTATGCAATTCATCAGCAAATTGAAGTCGATAAGAATGCAATAAATGTTATTTACAATGTAACTTAAAAGAGAAAGTCGTTAGTTGCTCTGCAAACAATTTTGGGGCCTGTGGTAAAACAGCAACGAAACAAAACCATGTTACAAAATTATATGGCATAACCTCTTCTGATCTTCTCAGATAGTGTATTCCTTGTCACAATGAATTTCAAAAAGGCTTTTCCAAAGGAAACGATACGTCGTTCCAATAACATGTACTCACCGATTACTTTTTCCAAAGGACCGAAAATTCATGTACAATGAGATATTTATACACCCGAGACTACAATACATATAACGGTCGTCTAGGGTAAATCAATTAATTACCGAAACGACAAATATCAATAGCTAAGATGTATGGACTATGGAAAACTAAATTATGGTGGACTGTCCCGCCAGAAATGGCCAAAAGATTACTAGGGTCAACGATCGAGACAAGGACAAAGCGGAGGGTGACAAAGGGTCGTGGAGACGGCTTCATTGGCTCGTACTTTTGTATTAAGACCGATACTATAATAACTTTAACCGTGAGACAGCCAAAAAGCAGTATTGAACGTAATTGGTAGCCTTATGATTCAAATTACATAATCGATTACAAAATAATTAATCTTGATTAAATTAATCAGGAATCGTTTCATCATTTTTTAGAAGTAAGCAGGAATTCTATGATTATGTTCGGTTATATATTTTTTTAACTATCCCAAGGTTTCATTACATTTGTGTATACTTTAGCTGAGCAATAAGCATCGTAATAGTTGAGATATAGTTAATTAAAATTAACGGCTCCACATCGAATCTAAAATAGTTAGATATTTTAAAACAATATTTATTTATAGCAAGAGTAGTTAACTGATAATAAAGTAATTTATAATTTTTATTACGATTAAATTATTATTGTAAACATTAATCATTAATCTGATTACAATTTGCTCAACACTGCCAAATGACATACTAATTAATTATCTTGGCAAAGACAGATCAACGTGTGGATAATCTCGCTTCAATAGATAAAACATCATCAGTAATTAGTAATAATTAATTTTAAAAAAAATATCTATTTATTGCTAAAAACATGCATCGATTATAAAAAGCAACAAATCTATTTCGTTTCCAATAACACGTGTTTCAAGTTGTTTTGTAATTATTAAAGTTTGTACTTAATGATATTGAGTCGAGATACAATACTAAATATTCCATTACTATTCTCTATTAAGAAACTTTATTTGTATTATACTAAACGAACGTGGTAGTTACTGCGACTGTTTAAATCACTTAAAAACCTAAATAAATAACTCTGATTTTTATAACATAAAAACATGTGCCACCTCATTAAAGGAAATAGTTAATACTTCTCTAAATGTAAAAACGAAAATATACTTTTATCCTTCCTTACTAATTTAGTTTTCCATTGTCCATACATCTTAGCTATTGATATTTGTCGTTTCGGTAGTTAATTGATTTGCTCAAGACGACCGTCTAGTATGCTTATATGTATTATAGTCTCGTGTGTATAAATATCTCATTGTACACGAATTTTCGGTCCTTTGGAAAAATTAATCGGTGAGTACATGTTATTGGAACGACGTATCGTTTCCTTTGGAAAAGCCTTTTTTGAAATTCATTGTGGCAAGGAATACACCATCTGAGAAGATCAGAAGAGGTTATGCCATATAATTTTGTAACATGGTTTTGTTTCGTTGCTGTTTTACCACAGGCCCCAAAATTGTTTGCAGAGCAACTAACGACTTTCTCTTTTAAGTTACATTGTAAAGAACATTTATTGCATTTTTATCGACTTAAATTTTCTGATGAATTGCATACGTTTTGACCGAAACCGCCGACCGTACGATCTGCTTTGAACAGAAACAGTTTTCATAGCTATTAGATATAGGTATATTGAACTTAACGAAAAAAAGGATTTTTGTTTATTTTTATAGCTAAAGTATAAATCTAGAAAGCTGAAATAGTGCAGCTTACCTAAATAATAACGTATAAATGTGGTTTTGATTGTGGTTGTTAGGATTTGGTTAGAAGCCAAGTGTTGAGGCAAAATGTATATTTTACTCTCTAACTAAAAAAAGGGTTTATAATATAACCATGTTATCCAGATCAGATAAAAAAAAGGTTTATTCTAAATGTTTTTCGACGGAGTTATTCTCTCCGGAACTAATAGATTTCATTTATCCATTTGTTGACTCTTTGTGGAAACCATTGGTTTTGTTAAAAGTTGAACTTGGTAAACTTAAAAGTTTGAACATCATTAATAGAAATTAGTTTTTGAGTTCTGAAAGTAAGCGGTCTTGTACTCAACGTAATTGGTAAGTTGTGAAATGCTTTGTCATAAAAGTACATGCGTGGGGGTAAATATACTGATTTTAGTAGTTTTCGACAATCTTTTTAACGACTTTATGTGGTAAAAAAAAAAAAAATACATGTCTCTTGACAGATTTTTTTTTTGTATATACTATTGGACTTAACGAATTTGTTTTCTTTTCAATACATCGAAACACTCAAGTCATAAACTTTTAAAGTGTGAGGAAAATGTAATTTCTGACCATTATGCCGGCGGTAATTAAAAAGCTATTAAAGTAATTAAAAATAATCCTTATATTAGAGAGAAAATCAATAGTCTATTAAACTGTTGTGGTCCTATATGTTATTTCCTAACATAGCCACCTACTCATCGCAGCACATATTTCAAACTACTGAAATATAAAAGACAAATTCAGGATATCGTACAGTTTGACATTTTCAATCAATATTGGAAATAACATAAGTGTCAATATGCACAATAATGAGCGGTACAAGTAGCAATACATCACACAAATTCTATATCGATGGCAACAATACTTATTTTCTTTTATTCTTGATTGTTGTCGTTGGCATGAAATATTACTCGAGTCACAACATGACAGCATGGACCAAAACGAAAATGAATTTCTTATCACATTTCAAGTAATCTCCTACATTTCATTTATTTTTTAATGTGTTATTCTGTACTATACCGATTAATGAAAATTCGATTATATATATATTTTATTGCAGGTCATAATTTTTTACACTACCATAGTTTAATTAATTAACACATACATAAGGTTATGTTAAAACATACTTAGTTTAAGATAAGTTAATATTGTGTCTTACATTCAATATAGTCTGAGACAGTCTCGACAATAATACATTTTGGTTGGCTTTAACACTGTTCTATTTTTTTTTTACTCACTGCTGCATTTTAATTTATTGTTATTCTATTCGAGTGCGGGCTGTCAGAAGTAACATATTTAAATTTCAAGAACTATATATATAAATGCAAAGTTATGTACTATGAATTATCTTAATCCAAGTAGTTTTTTTTTTATTAATGTAGCTTGCGCTAGGACCTTTAAATATATTATATGTTAAGATTTTAGAATAATTTATTAGTTAACATTATTTATGTAATTATATTTTATTATACTGGTGTGTAGTGACATAAAATTTTGCTTTGCTTTGTTTAATCATTGTGAGTTAACATCGTATCCCTTCGATAATTTTATTTTTACAACTGATTGTATATAAAACCGATTGTAGTTTGTACATAAAAAAGTATTATGAAATTGATTCGTTGACGTTAAAAGTGCATGTCATAATTGTTTTAACAGTAGAGTATCATATTTATTGTTACTATGTACATACTAAAAAACATATAAGATGACAATGTAACATATGTACTAAATTTATCAAAGTATTTTTGATTTTATCAATACTGTATTAGGTAATTGAGCTTACTATATTTTATTTAACATGTTAATACAATAAAATATTACCTGGACCATGTTAGGTAAATCTCCTGCGGCAGTCCAGACAGTAGAAGCAATAAATCGGATACGGCTAGACTGAACAGATAGTAGTTGGTGGCCGTGTGCATATACTTGTTCCTCGCTATCACTATACACGTGCTCACGTTACCCACGATGCCCGAGACCAGGATCAGAACATAGGTAATTGTCATAGGCACTATAAGCGTTAGTGGCTCTTTTTCATAGTTAAAGACTTCCGGTAAACAACTAAAACATAAATTGGAGTTGAAGAGTTTGAAAACTGGTCCGAATTTATACATTTTATAAGTATAATTATAGAAAATCGATAATTAGTAGGCATGCTTATCAAATTATTTTTACTACCTAATATTGTTGTCGTTATAAAAGGTATTGTTCCCTAAAGTTTCCTCAGAGAGCATACTCAAAAACGTAGAACGACTGATGCATTATTCAAATCATCGTACTGCGAAATCTGAAAAATTAAAAAGTATATTAAAATAGTGTTTACAACAACCGTAAAAACGTTTAGTTTTTTTTATAAGCATGACACAGAAAATATCAAATTTATATTTGATCAAAATTTTATTAATAATCAATTAATTAATTAATAATAAATATATATAGTACCTATATTTAAATTTGTATATAAAAAATCTTTCACCATATTTACATAATAAGGCCAATTGCTCAAGAGTTCTACCCTTCTTCCTAATTGGTAAATATATTTACATACATTTAACAGAAGTTCCTCGAAAAACTGTTGTTTTGTTGGATTTAATTATATAATTTATTTAGTCCTAGTATAAATTTGTAGGTGACATAAAATATTGTCTCGATATAGTCGGATCCTGGAAAGCATACAGTAATTTAATCCTTTGATGATTACATCTGTCGTTGACAGTGGTAAACAAATGCGTCGGCCTTAAATTTAGTTTACTATTTACTCAACGGATCTTAAGGGAAGTATAGATTTTATTAGTGAAAGGGGCATTAGAACATTTAACATAAGGTGACAAAATGTATTTATTTTGTTTTAATTAACTTAAACTTGAGCTTATACTATATACAGAGAAATGCATTTATACACAATGTATTATATGTAATTTATTTTAGAATACAGTGTACGTTAATAGAAAAAAATACTTTACTAAACAAATTATAATATCGTTTAGGTATTTTTATAGATATTTTTTTTCAGTAAAGGCAGTGCAATGAATATTAAAAAAAAAGGTCAACCTTGTACTTAGTTCTGTAAGGGTTAGAAAGTAATAAAAATAAATTAAATACACTTAAAAAAAGACCATTTCGCATAATATTCATTTAGAAAGCAATATATTATTGTCAAAAACTAATAAGCGTCAACCACATTTTTCTTTTTTACGGTTTTGTTTATTTTTAAAGATAACTAATTATTTTTCTACAACATACTTGACACTTCATATTATATAATATTAGGCTATAAAAGTAATTTAATTATATTTTACCTGATGAATTCAGAACAAAATAAAGGAATATAAACAATCTTTTATTTTGAGTTTAAGAAATTTTAACTCAACACAATCGATGTGTCTGAACAATTTTAGTAGATTTTAATTTTTAAATAAAGAGCCTTAACAAATATTTTTTAATTATATATTTATATATTGTGTGTGTGTTTTGAATTTATATGAAACCAGCTTTGTAATTAATGTTTCACGGTGTGTCGTCATATACCTCCAGATTATTAAACCACACACTGTGTATTACTGTATTATATTATACAATGTAATCAATTTCTAATATTTTTGATGAGTATAGTATAGTATAGGTATAGTGAGTTAAGATAAGTGAGCTAAAACAATTCTTAAAAATGACACAACCGTCGTTAAATTTGATTAATGATAATAGATGGTCATAAGAAAGTTATATTAACAATAAATAAATTTGTAACCCCCCAAAACTCTTATAATTTACATTTCATAATGAAAAATCGTCTAAATATATTTTTAACTTTTATTTTTGAATAAATCTATATCCTATACACGAAAATCAGTTTGATTGTGTTGTTGCGTGACTACAAATCTTTAAAACCAAATTAAATGAATCCATTTACATTGGGTTAATTCTTGAAGATATCCATTAAAACCAGAAATAGACTTTTGGTATATTTGTTTATCGAACTGGTCTAATTTTATTGAAAGAGAAAATTAAATATGCTTAGACGTTTGTTGTATGAATATAAGCCTAACTAAAGAAATACTCTTAAAAAATCTATGAAAATATATTAAAATAGAAAAATATTCGGGTGATACATTAAGAGGAAAATATCGTTTTGATCAAACCGTTATTTTGATTAATTTTATAAAAGCCCTTAATTTTTGTAAAGTAATAGTATATATCATAATTGTAACGTGCGCCGTTTAAGATATTCGGGCTTATATAGAAATTTGATACCCTGGATTTTACAATATAATGTTCATGTAAATGAAAATAACTTAGGCGTAAATTAGTTGTACAGTACTTCTTAGAACGACGGTTAAAACGGAGATTAATTTAAATTTGTTCACATTCTTAAACAATATTTTGTCAAAGAGATTTTTAATATGTATAATGCGGTTTATGTTGAAAAAACGATTAAGTTAATTACAAATGTGAATCTAGCTCAATAGCTCAATGATATTGCACAATAGCTATTTATTATAAAACAAATAAAAACGAGGGAACAATTATGGGACTGTGATTGGAAGCTGCACATTATCTAAATAAAACAGCCATGGCAGATTATAAAGGACACCTAAAGCTTTTATCGATTCCGAGAGTCATTTAAATTGAAATGTATTTTGTATAGTACAAAGAATTATAATTTATTCAGTTGTTATTATTGTATTGAAAAGTTGATAGATCCGTTATGAAAATATATTATTAAAAATAGTAATGTGTATTCATTTTATTTCATCCGCACGAAAAGTATAGTAATACTAAGTAGTCATTATTTTTGTAAGGTTTTTTTTTTATTGGATGGTTGTATTCAAAGTGGTAGGAATCCGAAAATTTGGATTTTCATAAAAAACGCTATTTAAGCCACTTAAATTTGTTTATAAGTATTATTAGTGTTACAATATAAATCTTTGTTTCTAAGTAAAATGCTTTTGATGAAAGGCTTTTAAAAAACCCTTGATATCTAAATCTACGTAAAAGCAATCTATTTTTACGGTTTTGTATTTTTTCCATTTTAGTTGAATACTTATTTATATGTTGTATTTTTATAATTTGTTATTTATAAAATTTATAAATGGTAAGAACAGCCTTTTTTTTTTTTTTTGAAAATCGGGTTTTTTTAATTCCCATCACTAATTAAAACTACAAAACAATTATTAGTGTAATGATGAAAAATAATTAAAATATGATCATTATTATATCATATTACCAACTATACAAAAATCTCTTAAATGTTAAGACTAAAGATGATGCCGTTTTGCAATAATTGAGAAACACCATAGTCATTGGGAGAGTGAATTCTGTTTATCATATCAAAAGTTTTGTGTATCCTCTAGATAGTGCATAAAAATAAAGACCAATAGAATAGCTGAAATTAAAATTTTAATAACTAAACATAAAGGTCGAGGTTTGACGTGAGGTGGACACGGGATGTTGATAAAATGATATCGATAATGTTCGGATACGAAACAGAAAATTAGGCGATTAGATGAAAGATTATTAAAAATAATTGATACGAGAAATTGCTAAGAAAAAAAATGTTTATGCTTAAATTTTTAAGTTTTAGCCGTTAGGTAAAAATCAATTGATTACCATCTGTTATTTTTTATTGCAGAACAACTAAGTTTTTGTTTGTCTAATTCTCGGTTGGCTTCGCCAGTTTTTACTTTTAGGTCATAGCAAACGCCTTTATGCTGACTCAGAATTTTTGTAGAAATTTTTTCTGAAATAACACCATTTCAAAATATTTGTGAAAAACCATCGTTGCTTTATGGACTTAATAAGAAAATCTTATTCTTTTAAATTTTTGGCGATGGTACGCTTAATACTGACAAGTGAGTGTTGGAAAATTGGCCAAACGCAGACGGACGAAAATTCTCACAGTCGAGAAAAAAAAACTGCCTTAAATTTTTATACTCTATTTTTATTGTACTTAGACAAAATTGTATTTGTTTTTTATTGATCAAAAGCCTCGGTTGCAAAGACCATTGGCTATAAATTACAGTTATCTTACATGTTATATTTACAAGTTATCTTAAATATTATTATTTAGTTTTGAAACACATTGATATTTACAATGATTGTTATTTATATAAGTTCATGCAAGTCAGATTTGTACATGGCTTAAAGTAAAAGGAAAGGGTATTTATTATAGAGCAAAGAATATAGCAATATATTTTGACATAACTGATCTAGGGCCATTTAAATCATACCAACTAATTTAATTGTAAATAAACATAACATTTTTCTGGATCGTTAAAGAAATTCCAATTTCTTTTAATAAAAACCGAATAGCTTAATACTTTATTTAAATGTATAAAACCTTTAATCAAACGCGTTAAGTGTTTTTGGATTATGGTTAAGACCCATTCAAAATATTCCATCGGAAATCACGTTTTCCCGAACTCCTAAGAATTAAATCTGCATTAAACAATAATTTATTGTAGACATGTTTTTCGTTTTTACAATTCATTTCATTGGTTAACAGAAGTAGATCGAAAATATTTATAATATCTCCCCAAGGACATTTAATAAGGATTCATGCGTTATTGTTGTACACATATATTATTACATTTATATTATTTGCACTACTACATATGAAGGGTCCTGGGGTAAAACCACTTTACAGCAATTTCTCTATAATATTTTGATTTTGTAAACCAACAAACTATAAATTAACAACGGGTACTATAAAAATCAAATTTGTCTGTAGATTTTGGTTCACATCAAAACACAGCACATACTTTAGATAAACTGGATGGTCAGTATCTACTTGTGAGATGAATAAGGAAAATGAATATGGAGAAAGTGGAAAGATAGAATGTAGTGGTTGAATTTCTTATATCTTTATTTATTCAAATATATATTTTATTAAACTAGTAAATGTAAGTTTCCGGTGACAATTTAAAATCTACAATTGTCTCGCTATACATAGGTAATAATAATAAAACAATAAAATAATAATACATATATAGCACCTATATAATTTTTAACCAACTTACACTATTATTATTAGTTTTATTATTTTGTTGAAATATTTAGCACAACCTATTTTATTATACTAAAGGTTTTACTTGGCAGCTACAATTTTCGTGTTAGTCATTCTGACAGTATTTTATTTTTAAATCATTATTATAATAATTTGACGGAATAAAAGAACTTTTAATTTCAAATCGGCTGTGACCTCATGCTATGTTGAATATTTATGTAAAAAAATACAATAATATAGTTCGGTAAAAAATAAATGTAGTTAGCTCATAAAGTATCTGTTGGATA